GCGGGCGGCGCGCCCCACCACCCCGCCGTGCCGAGGGGGTTGGGCCGCTCTCGCTCGGCAGGCTCTCGCTCCGCTAGGCAAGGCCCGGCCCGGCGCGGCCCTCAGCGAGGACGTTCTGCCCGAGCCTCAATCGATAGCTTGCACTGAGAGCTCGCCGGCGCGGGGAAGGGGGCCGGCGGGGGCGGCGCGGGGGCGGCGGGCGGCAGGGACAATCGTAACCGGCCGGTCGGGGGACGGCGGCGGCGGCGGGGGCGGCAAGGTGTATTGCCTCTCTTGGGCTCCAATTAGCCACGGTGTTTAAACCTCGCGCTCTTTTCCGTCTAGCCGCCTTCAAGGTCATCGACCCGCCTCGGCTCTGGGGACCCATGGCCGCCTTGCAGCACACACACACACACCCTGCTAGAGTCCCCGGTCCCCGGGCCGCGGGCCGCGCACCCCTTGCTCGCCACGCCCTACTGGGTACCGCCGCGCCCGGGTAGTGCGGGACCGGGGTGGGTGGCACCGTGAGTGTGAGAGAGAATTGAATTGAATTGAATTTATTTTGAGGATCGTATACATTAGGACTAATAAGTCCCATTGGGGTATACAACCCGCTCGCTCCGAGAGAGAGAGAGAGAGAGAGAGAGAGAGAGAGAGAGAGGAGGGCGCCGTGCTCGCCCGGCCCAGCCCGGCCGGAGGCACCTAAGCCCCTCGCACAGGGGGATGAGGCGCTGGCTCAGGCCGCCACGCCACGCCACCATGCCCGGCTGGTACGCCGGGGTTGAGGCGGAACCCCCTATCACGCCCTGTGCGACGCCCGAGTGTTACTCGTTGTCGCCGGTGGTGTTGCAAGGTGTACCACGAAAAATTGGCCGCGAGATACGCGTCTGTCTTATGAAGTGGGCGGTATCCACGTCTGCCTACTGTACTACAGGCAAAAGTTAGTATTCCTCGTGGAGATTCTGACTGCTCGGTGTGTTCTGGGTATCGCGTCTAGAAAGTGCACGCGTCTGGTTTCCGTTCTTTTATGAAGATTAATTCAGGGAAATCACACGGGACACGGGACTGGGCGCCTGTGAGATGCGCGGTAGGCCACCCTGCAGCGCACGCATGTACGACAGGCCCGATGCTGCCTACCCATCAGGCGTCATGGAGATCGTGCACCTGCTCGACTGCTCGACTTAATAGGGTTTGCCGCTCCCGATGAGTGACCTATACGTACCTGGTTGTATGACCGAAACCTAATGTTCCGTCGAGATTTCGTTCCGGGGTTGAAAGCCCTGGAAAATTTTCGGAAAATTTCAGGAAAAATTCCAGGAAAAACGGAAAAATTTCCGGGGGTAGGGAAAATTTCCCAGACTTTGGAAGTTTTCCGTTATTTTCCGAGAATTTTTCGAAAATTTTCCGGAAAATTTTGGAAATTTCCAACTCTTTTTCACTTAAATGTTACTCCACGCGAGCTAGCCCGAGAAGGGCGTGGGTGGGAGAGAGAGAGGAAGAGAGAGACCTCCAGCGGGTACTTCACTTCCAAAAAATGAATTTAAACAAACGAATAAAATGTCAGAAAAAAAAAAGAAAACCGGAAAAAATAAGAGAAAATCAAAGAGAATCAGAGAACAGTAAATAATGCGCGATTCTGTGTACGTTTCTATTGAAGTGCCCCTCGGAGACGTTCGGGAGGCCCTCACTTGCGTTTGCGATGACGGGGTGTAATTCTGCAGACAGCGCCGTAGGGGTCCGCGTGCCCCGCCATGAAAGTGTCGCCGCGCGTTACTGGCAGCCGCTCGCTCGTCATCCACACCGAGCAGTGTCCAATCCTCGCCCTAAATCCCTTTCCAGCCCCCCCTCTCTCTCTCTCTCTCTCTCCCTCCTCTCTGTCCTCTTCTGACTCTTTCTGTGTCCGCTCTCTTGCTTCCAACACCCCTACATCCCCCCCCCCTCTTCCGCGCCTTCCCGTCTCGCTCTGCTAGGGGGGGGGGGGGGGGTGGATAGGGGAGTGCTGGAGGACAGCCTCCGTAAAACAAACCAACACCCGTGCGCTCTGATTCCTTGTGACAGCGTGAGGCATCAGCCGGTGGCAGAACGAGGGGGATGGGGCGTGGTGGAAGTGGGGTGTGGTGTAGGGAGGAAAAAAGGAGAAGAGGGGGAGGGAGTTTTATGTGTACTCTCGCGAGTCTGATTTTTAGCAAATATACACTTTATTGGAAACGGTAGCGTAATGGCTGTCGTGAAATTCGCGCTGCTCCACTGCGAGCGGGGCGGCGAACGAACCGCCTTTCATGTCGAGGGGGTCGAGAGCCGCCGTCGTGCACCGCAGGGACATTATCGGGGTGCTCGGGTGACCGTCGTCGACCCGCTCGCGTCGTCGTCATCCTGGCCGCGCTTCCCTCCACCCGCGAAGTCTCACTGCTTGCCGTCCACGGACACCTGAGACAGCCGACGTCCCAGCGCGAAGAGCGACAGGCGCCTCCTGCCCCACAGGCCGCCGCCGGCGCCGGCCTCGGCCTCGTCCGGGTACCCGAAACTCTCCAAGTCTGGGAAAGAAAAAACAACAACAACAGAAACAACCACGTCGTCGTCAAAGTTTGGCAGCCGTCGTTTTTTTTCCTCCCTCTGTCCGGGAGCGAGCCAGGAGGACGGCCGGCTCCCGGGAGCGCCCGGCGGGTAGGCAACTTAGCGCTCCGAGCACCGTGGAGCGCACCCGGATGCCTAACCGCACGGCGCGCCCGCCCGCCTGCTAGGCAATCCCGCGGCACAGGTGCGTACATTGTGCCTAGCAGGCGGGCATAGACGCAGCCTGCCCCACACCGTTTGTATTATTCGTGGTATTACTTTTTTTTTTTTTTTCGTGATTGGCCTTCCTAGTTCTATAGTTGGCAACGCACTCTGGACTTAGGGGCCGTTCGAGGGATGCAAATATGATGGGGTCTGGGGTCCAAAAAGAATCAGGGCGGTTATTCGAGTCCAAGAAGACCCTACAGTATTTTTGTACCCCGCGGGGTCTCCTCGGACTCCGTCCTGATCCCTTCGGGACCCCATAATATTTTTGTACCTGCGCCATTCTCCCTCGAGGTTTCTGAACGGCGTCTTCTTACTAGGGTTGGAAGTCCTGAAAAGTTTCCGGAAAATTTTCAGAAAAAAGGAAAATTTCCTGGAAGAAAAGGAAAACTTTTCCAGTTTTCTGAAATTTTCCGTATTTTTCCTGAAATTTTCAGTGATTTTCCTGAAATTTGCAGTGATTTTCCTGAAATTTTCAGTAATTTTCCTGAAATTGTCCGGAAACTTTCGGAAATTTTCTATAATTTCCCTGAAATTTTCCTGAAACTTTCGGAAAATTTACAACCCTCCTTCTTACTGGAGAAGTAGCCTGCGAGCGCGCGCACCGCGCCCGCCCAGCGCCGGTACTCGAAGCCGCCGGGCACGCCGCCGTACTGCTGGGGCAGCATGGCGGCCGGCACGGTCTGCTGCAGGCTGTCGAAGCGCGTGCCGTGCAGCGACACCTGCAAGGCGAGCGGGAAATACGATTTGAAAAAGAAAAAATAAGAAATAGGCTGGACTTACGAGAGAAATGCAGCAGAGTAACGTGTCACGTTGTTATGGATTCCAAGGAGCTGCCATTCACGGTAAAAATTATATCTTTTAATCCAAGAATATTACTTGAAATTCAAGAAAGAAAAAATTGACGAAGTTGTTATTGACAGTCGGTTACTGCGAATTAGCCGTTGGGCACTATGCGCCGTCACAACTGCGAATATGAGTCATAATAAGCAGTCACGACTGCGGACAAGAATGTCACACTATTCGCAGTCACTAACTGCAAATAAATAGAAAAGCATTACCAACAGTCATA